AAAATAACTGCAAGAACCGCAGCAAAAATGTGTGGAATTTGGGGCAGAGGCAGCGCCGTCCAGGTTCGAGGTGCAGGTATCTCAGCTTGTGCCAGCTGTCGGACTGAAAGTTGCTTTCTTGGCGTGAGATGTTGAGTTTCTTTTCACTCTCAATCATCCTTGCCCAGCCAAGCAAGAAGTGTCATTTCATGAGAGCTGGCAGAGGTCACCGCTTTAATAACTATTGTTAATTGATGCCTCTCAAAAGCTGCCTCTCAAGTTGGGTTTGTAACATGCCGAGACTTGCACAGTAGGTAGCTGAATCGAATTATAACTTTAATCTCATGATTAATAAATTGCACTAGAGCTGTGACAATCTTGTGTGTTTTAAAATACAATCGTTCTGTAGCTGCCACATCTGACAACTGTTTATTCTCTTTGTAAAAGCTACATCTAGGATTCTGACACAGTTAAAGCTTTACATTGCGTATTTAGGCGATTTCTGCAAAAACTAGTTGCTCCTTAGGTCTTAATGGATTGAAGTTGGCTCTTGGTGCTTCAGGTCCTGTGTTAATGAGTGCTACAGACGCCAGCAGGAGTTTGCAGGACCAGCCTCTGCTTCTGAAAAGCCAGAGATGCGTGACAAGTAATTAGCTGTCATGAAAATAGTAACTAAAACAAAAAGCAATTTGAGAGACGGGATTTCACAACAAGCAAGTAAAATACTGCTGTAGTAAACAAGAGAACATGTGTGGAGAGTTGCTGCTGCTGCTCTCCAGAATATCAGGAATTGCAGATTTAGCATCTTAAGAGTTCATCTTCCTTCACGTGTGGTGTATTCCAGCCCTGCATGGTGTGCAAGGGGTGATTCAGCCCCTCTGCACTGCACACAAATGCATATTCTTCTCTCTGGCTCTCTAAGGTGGCCACGTAGCAGGATCTTTTTTTTTCTCTTTCCAAAACTCTCCTCCCCAAATTATTATTAATAGCTACATTTCTAATTTTTAAAATTGTTGTATTGAGTGGAAAGAAATGAACAGCATGCAAGGTAAACACTGTGTGGGATAAATGCTATTTAAATCTCGTCTAAGCTGCTAAACATCACACCAGCACTGGATCACTGAATCTAATCCAGATAAAAAAAAAAAAAAAAAAAAAAAAAAAAAAAGGAAGAAGAGAAAAAAGAGAGGTCACATTAGAGAACCGTGCCATCTGTCCAGTATGGAATTGAAAGGCATTTATAATGAATTACTTATCCATATTACTGTCTTTTGGGGGGTGCTTGGTGTGAATCAAAGAGCGGTACAAGAGCATTTATCTACAAAGACATTTCCTGAATTCTTTCTACCTTGTCAACCTGATCTTTTGCTGTGCAGTTTTTAGTTTAGCATTTTGCAGAATTAATTAGTCCATTAGAAACAGTAGTTCCTATCTGACTCCTGAAGTGTCTTCTATCTATTCCAGGAGTTGTTCCTTTAATACAGACTTAGGGGATATATATATATATATGTATATATATGTGAGTATTGGCAGAATTGCTGAGAGATTTTCAAAGATTATCTCTGCTACTGTATTTGAGAGTTGATTTATCTGCATGTTCATAGCAGGAGAAAAGGTTTAAGTTGGAGTGTAGCATTTAGAATTAACTGTAGTCTGTGCTAATGTTTATCGAGTCGATTGTTGTCTTCAGCTCTTCCAATATTAATATAGTGTGTTCATAGAAAAAAAGTATTCCACTACATTAATAAAAAATAATGATTCACAGTGTGACAGCCTTGTAGAACATTTGCTGTCGAGTCTCATCTTACTGGCTGGGTGCTATTGCACATTCAGAAGCTTATCCCTCAATGATACTATAAAACATTTTAAAATAAAGATTATTTTTTTTCTGTCGAAGATATAATTTTAAGACCTCCTTAAAAAATTATGAATCTGTCTCCTGAAGAAGAATGAGGGGAAAAAAATGGGAGAGAGAAGTTGTTAAAAACCTGCTGTTAAAGCTCCTTTAAAGATCCTCCCTCTGACTAGCTGAAGTTATATTAATGAAATTGCCGCAGTGTTTGATGTGATTTAATGAGCAGAGCCCCGTTGGTCTGGGCTGCTGTTCTCGCTGCCTAGGGTGCATCTAGCGCTGGGTTAAGCGCAGTTATAGGTGAAGCTGCTTGAAGTTTTCAGATGGGATGAGACTAACTGAAGATGTTACCATTAAAGGTGTTAATAAATCATCTTCTGAGGCCTTAAAGGATAAGTAAGATGAAATTCCATCTGGGAGGAGTTTAAAACCAGTGCTATTACTGAATACAGGGGCTGGATATGATCTGAATTGCAGAATCCACTGCAATTCAGACCTTTCTGAGTGTCCCTTGCAGGAGAGAGAAGCTATAGGAAGGAAGGGCAAACGTTCAGATTAGTTTTTCCAGCCTTTCATAAGTGGAGTCATTCCTGTTTGAGGGCAAGGGGAAGCTACTACTGAATAATGCCAGCTTGTGTTTCACACCGAGACCCCACGAGCCTTTTTTATTTATTTTTCTTACAGTGAAGAGATGCCTTGTGTTTCATGCACTGTTTCCATTTGCTTCTCCTTGCTCTGCACTGTTTTTCTCTGTATTTAGAAATGCTCATTCCAACCAGTGTCGTTTGTAAGGAGGAGAAAACTGAGGTGAGCTAAGTACAGTGGAAGTCTTCTCAAAAGAAGCACTGGAGCTGCTATGCCATGAGACATATAATGAGTTCTGTAACGTGAACAGGAGCCAGAATATTTTGAAGTCATAAGTGATTTTATGGAGGTGTGTAAGTTGTGTTTCTGCTTCTTTTGGCTCTAAATTCCTGTTGTTTGGATTTTGCAAAATAATTTCCAGACAGCAGCTTTTTCAATGACCTCTGTCCAGGCAGCCTCAGGAATGCATTTCATGGTGTCTTCGTCACATATTCTTCAGTTTGCTCTAAACCCATCACCAGTTACACTCTTTACATGACTTCGATATGTCTGACTTATCATATCTGTCTCTTCACAAGATGTTTTACCAGATGTCCTCTCTGAAGGGCATCTCTACAGAAGAATTTTGCCTCAGATTAGGTTGTTTGTCATCTCATATTTGAGGCCGTCATGTAGTCAGGCTAATTTAGTAATTATGTGTGCATCTTTGCAGAATCCGTCTGCTCTGATGAGTCCTCAGGAAACCCTGACATCTGCTTTAGGAAAAGGCAAAGGGGCAAAGCAGGGAGATGTTTTCATACGTTGGTCTTGGGGTTTTTCTGTCAACCCCTTGACTGACAGTGGAAGGGAAAGGTTACCTGGATGGACGGTGCTGTGACTTGGGTCTTGCCAGAGAAAAACATCTCGAAAGGTTTCTTTGGGTGTCTACTGACTCCATAAAGAACACGGCAAAATTAACAGCTGTTAATTTTGTTAATCATCTCTAAGATGTTTAGAAAAGCTGGTTAGCGCAAACAAACGAGTCTTTAGAAGATTCATGTTCTGTATCAATTAACTTTTTAACCACTTGGCTAGCTGTGTGCTTGACTTATTTAGAAGACAGACTTTATACAGGCTTTGAATTTTCTGTTCTGTCTTATACCCGTCATTCCTGAAAGAGACATCAGGACTTTTGTCTTTACAAGACAACCATCGAGTGAGTCAGGTTTCAAGGCATACAATCAAGACAATTTTTGCATTTAAAAATAATCAAATCTTTATTCCTTAAAAGTGATTACTTTTGACCAGCCTGCATCACATTTTCAGAAGATAAATTTAAATGTCCACTGGGATATTTAGAATTACCTAAGCAGGTTAAATGTCTACCTCCAGCTGATCTCTATATGATTCAAAATTACTTTGGGTTTCCTTTCTTAATGCAACGTAGACTGCCATTGAGCAGGCAGCCCTCACTTTGACAGCTGTGTCATATTCTGTTTGGTTTTAATTTGTTATGACCCCAAATTTGAAAAATGCAAGTATTTAAGTTATGCAGTCATTTGCATCATGATGTTCAAAGCTATAATACACATTCCTAACTGTATGCTAATCAAGAAATACATTTTCTTGTGCTAGATCTTATTGCCTTCTCCTCAGGCAGTGATCTCACATGCAAGTGACAACTGAATTTGCTTGCTGAGCCCAAAGAAACAGCATTGAGGAAACAGTCCGAACTCTCTCATGCAGTATAAAAATGTGCATTGCATCCAATAATGTCTGAAATGTCTTAAGTGCATGCTCTTGATGTGCAGATTCCGCATCCTGAAGCACTCTCACGTGTATCCTGTTCCACCATGCGAAGGAGTTCTTGGCTTATGGTTGCTTTGACTTTGTTGATCAGAAAGCAAACTGTTAAGGAGTCCTTCAATGAATTAGAGACTTTTCTCTCTTTCCTTCTTTTTTTTCTTTTTTTTTTTTCTCCTTGCATCTAGAAGATTAGGATTTTTGTGGTGAATGGTCAGAACTAATTCCATTCTCTTTTTACTTTGAAAATGTACTGACTACCAGTCACGTAAGTGGTATTTTTGACTTTGTGGACCTGTTTTTTAATGCCTTGCAGGATAGCTGTTGGAGCCTAATACCTGTTTTTTATTTATTTCTTAACAAGTATCATCAGAACTGATTTATTTAAAGAGCCCTGAGAAATCAGAGATGGGCAAGTTGGTTTGTGACAAATGCTCTTCCTTTATTTTAATTCTGTCTTCCTTGATTCTGTTGTTCATTCTATAATGAAGTGGCTTCAGTTCCATTTTCCCCAAAAGTGTGTAGTGATTTGGATGAATCAAGTGAATTGTGTTACGTTTTGAGATGTGTATGTGTCTAATCCATGAGTTTGGTGACTCTGGGGACACTTGTATGTTCTAAAATATGGCTCCAATATGTGAACCATTGGTCGCAGTGTCTAAGAGCAGTGAATTCAGTCAAGTCCCGTGCACACCGATACAAAGGCAGGCAGATTAAGGGATGGTAACAAATCCTTATTGACTAATAATTGATTGGTAGCAGTGTGGATGTAACCCCAGGTTTGCTTTGTCTGGCTTGGTAGGTACGTGGATGATGTGATCAGCCGCATCGACAGGATGTTTCCCGAAATGTCCATCCAGTTGTCCCGGCCGAATGGAACCTCTGCGATGCTCCTGGTAAGAGGGATCATTCAACCCCTTGAGAGGGATTTCTGGATAGACTGAATTACTGTTCCTAAAATGCACATTAGGAGGACAGTTTTTTTTTTTTTTCAGAAATACACAGTATTTCATTTGTCATGGTGGTGCAGGATTTTTGCTCCAATTTATAAGAACATAGGAAAATATATTTGAAAGCCCTTAAATGGGCAGTACTGCTGCAAAACTAGAAGGCTGCTTAACAGAGTTACGTTTCAGGATTGTTTTATAAATTGGAAACTCTGGGACAAGTTTATAAAGTTTGTACATCTAATGTCAAAACTGCAGTAAAAATGTTCATTATATTGAAGGAGATGAGCATAAAATGACTTTTTGAGGATGTATAAATAGCTGTAATTGAGTTTTTATGCTTTTGATAAGCAGCAGCCAAATGTGTCACTGAATTTTTGCTCAATTAAATACTTAATCCTGCAACACTGAAGTCGAAGGAAGTTGGGTTTGCTGATTTGGTTGGCATGAATTAAGGCCTGAGTTCGTTCTTAAAAATTGGTTTTAGGGAGTAGTTGTTTTCACTTCGAGGCTTTGCATTTTGAAAAGGCAAATGGAAGATAAAAGGAAATACCATCTTTAAAGAAAGAATAAATCACTAGTACTTGTTGACCATGACAATAGAAATATAAGCGCACCCAAACTCAGATATTCAGTGTGTTTTAGCATTCTTGGCAGTGAGTGACTGTTAATCAGGATAATTAAGAACAAAAGTGGTGGGAGAAGGATAGGAAAAAAGCAAGCTGATATCATTTAAATATCTTCAAATTGCTCTTGGGTCAGTGAACTTCTGCTTTATGATGAAGTCCAGAATTTGCCTTTGAAGTAAATGAGGACTGAAAACTGGATTGTAGATAAACAAGTCCAACACATTAAACTTAGTTCTGCCTGACCACGCAAGATTTTGTTCCACCAGAACCTATTGTTCCTATTAATTTGCACAGGCAGCTGTTGTGCTGATAGCAGGAGAAGAATGTGAAAACTTTTTACTCTTAGACAGAAGCCTGTTGAAGTGGAGAATAATGAACTATAATATCATGGCACTCAGATGTGATCTTAAATTAAATATTCTCTGATGAGATGAAGGACAGAAGGTCCATATTTTGGCAAATTTTAAGTAAAACCCCAGTAATATCCTCATCCTCGGTAACATTCCCAGTTATATTCACATAAACTATTGCAGAAAGCCTGGGTATCACACTCATATATTTCTTGTTTCCAAGCAAATAGTAAGAGGAAACTAAAAACTGGATGTTTCATCCAAATAGAATAACTGAGTCAATGTAAATCAATTGCAGGATCACTCCTTAGATTTAATAGTACTTTTATAGTTTGACTTCAAAACCCCATTATGGATAGTTTTCTTCATATTTGTGGATGTATCTGTTCATTTCTCTATAGGAAGTCTGGCTCTGATTATATTTAGTTGCAATTCATCAACTGTCTAACATCCCATTATTAACTTTCTTTCGAGCAGCCCCAAATTTTCAAGAGATTAACTGAGTCAGAGGTTAAAATAAACAGCTGGCTTTCACTCGCATTAAAACATTTAATCTGCAATTGTTGGATTCACCAAGTGGAACAATATATTCCATGAAAGAATTGGATTCATCAGCGCTGCTTTAAGAAGCTCTAAGTCCTCGAAGCTTCTGCGTGTGGGTTTTAACTTGTCCTTGTGTTTAACTGTTTCTCTGCCTAGTGAGTCACGTCTGTCTTCGCTTTGCTCCTCTGAAACCCTTTCCATTCGGTTGCAGCCTCTCTTTGCACGTGTTAACTGCCCTGCAGCCCTGATTCATTTGGGGGGTCTGAAAGTATTGACACATTTCAAGATTATTGCACAATTAGGAGATATTCTGTAAATTTTCTTACCTTTGGCTGGTCAGGAGCAAAGTGGCTTGGAATGGCCATAACTGCAGGAGCAGCCGGCTTCCCGGTCAGTAATAACTTACTGAATTCCTTGTTAGGATACCTCTAAATCAAGGGCAGTGCTGCTGCTGCAGGAGGGTAGCCCTGTTTTCAACCAGTGTTCATGTTTTCCTTGGATCAGAGATCAGAAAGATTGTTTTTAAAGTATTTTTGTATATGATTATGTGATGGGTTTATCGTTTTTTTCTTTTAGGCAGGTTTTCCCTCTTCCCCATCTGTCTCGGTTGATGTTGCCAATATGGCACTTTCCATCTGGCCCTGGCTGCTACAGAAGCTTTTGCTGTTTTCAGCCCCAAATCGGTGAGGGGAAGGTGCTGCCGGCTGGGCAGCGTGAAGAGCATCTCCCCCGAGAGCAGGGAGCCGCTCCAGACCTCGGGATTTCACACTCCAAACGTATCCCAAGTTAGAGCGGGAGCCGCTTCCTCGCAACCACGTGGTTTGCTGTCATACCGAAGGATTCGGAGAATATTTGTGGTTGCATTTTAAAAAAGATTTGGCAACTCTATTCTTTGCATGTTAGGTACGTGTAATCTCAGCCCGTTTACCCCTTGCTTGTCCTCGTGCCACTGCTTAGCTTTATTATCCTAGCTTCAAGGCAGAGGTCCGTTATTGTGTTTAAGGATTCCTGGATGTCTTAATACTATTGTATTAAGAATCTTTATCACAATAATTCAGCTTGACAGAAAAAAAAACGTATTGGTCGGCAAAGGCATTGGTGAGCTGTGTGCACTGGTAAGAAGGTGAAAATTGTTGGGAGGAGGTGGAAGAGAAAGGAGCGACTATGAGATTTGTTGTCAATTCAAATTAGCTGATTAAGGGAAAAGAAAATGGACTGATATGGAAAGTTTTGGCCCCAGACTGATGTGTGGAGCCTTCTGTGCACCTAGGAATGGATTTCTGTCCTTTGCAGCAGTGGTGGGACTTCTGCAGGCTGCAGCTCTTGAGTGTTTCAAGAGGAATAGTCGCTCATAGCGTGAGCATCTTGGTCTGACTTTCCCGGCTAATAAACTTTGTATTGAGCCCTCCCTTTACAAGATACGTCTTTCGCATAAGCTAAAAACTTTAAGCAAAAAAAAAGAAAAAGAGAAAAAAAAAAAAAAAAAGGCAAGGAAAAAATATCCCCTATTTTTGTGAGCATGAATGCTGTATCTGAAAGGTTGTTATCTCTAGTCTTCTGAGGCTACTGCTTCCTCCAGACAATAAGAAGGGGTTTTTTATGTTTTAGATTTATACATGGCAATTGTACCTCATTAGTTTGGATTTATGCTACACAGGCCAAACATATAAATAATTGAAGCCGTTCAGAGCTGTGTGAAATCCTCAACTGATTTTAAAAGCAGTTTATCATGGCATTTCAAGGTGCAGTTTAATCCCAATCTTCACTAGCGATTTTTTTTTTTCAATTAATCTTTTAATCGCACAATGCATGAAAAAGACTAAGCGTAGAATTATATCAGCTTTGATAACAGTGCTATGCAAAATTAATTTCCAGCAGCAGCGGAGGGAACTAAGGACTCCTTAAGGTATTTGTTAGATTTTGTTGGTCAAATGCCAGGAATTGTAAATAGATAAACCTCACCCCATATGTTAAGAAAACATGGACTGATCTTATTTAGTAAAAAATACCTGGACTTTTGCTTGGTTTCATTGGTGAGTTATGTTCTTAAAAGCACATTATTGTTTCTAATGAAATGTCTTGATTCTGTGGTTGTGATATGTAATTATTTCACATACCTTGTTTCCATTGTCAAAATTTGGGATGGTTTTTCGGTGTGAAGCTTCTAATTCTTATGTGTAATTAATTTAGATATCAAAAATATTGTATAATACAGCCCTGAAACGTTAGTCCCATGTTTCAGGAGATGAATACGACTTAGACAGGGTGCTGTAGCCAGTCAGTCCCAACTGGACATAGAAAACTATTCTCTCCTCTTCATCCAGTAGCTAATTGGGCTTTAAAGATCTATATCTGCCCTCTGGTTGCAAAGCTAAATAAAAGGATATATGTAGAAATTAAGAACACCATGTAAACTTTTTTTATAAGTAATGAAATGTGTTTCGAGCTCTTTCTAAAGCATAATGATATTTATAACAATTTTGATTTGAAAAATGGAATTGCTTCTGAGAAAACAAAGCTCACTTCGGAAATCCTGGTTTCTTATTTTCCTGTTGTTATCTTGAGAATTTTTAGATAAATTTATTCTATACATGTATACCGGCACAGAGATTTTAAGCAGATCTTTCCTATAGATGAGACATTTTTATACAACTTCTATTCATGCTCACTAAAAGTAGACCCATTTGCATTTCAACTTCTAAATTTTGTTCCAGACATTTTTGAGCAATTCTGACTGTGTGCAAGTGGCTTGTATTAATTGCAAATAGGCTAGACATCTGTTCAGTAAAACTGAATAATTTCTTGAGTCTAATTTTTGTTTATCAGTGGTTTACTTAAAATTGTGAGCATTTCTAGTGGAAACCTGGATTCTGAAAATTATTATTTCCCTGTTAAAAAAAGGCCATCAAACTGGTTCTTGTTCAAGAGGACCTGATCACCGGGAGCGTGATGACCACAGCGAGCAGTTGGCAGGACCTGTTTGCCTAAGGCTAGTCAGTGGAAAATCTCTGTCTTTGCTTTGGATTTAGCTCCGTGACCTCTCTGGGAGCTTCATTCATGGTTCAGACCCTGGAATTTTCATCCATGATGAGGAAGGTCCTTCAACAGGAGGTATCCTCTTTAAAACACACATAGAAAAGGCTTGTGGTGCTGAACCCTGTGCTGGAGCTGAGCCCTGATGTGCTGCTAAACCAAGATGGAAAGAGAGGAAATGAGAATGGGCTGGCAAGTATAAGGGCTTGGTGCATCCCTGGTGTAAGGATGTGGAGGGGTCTCTTGATGGGAACGTGAAGAAGAGAAGAAAAAAATGAGAGAAAAATTTACTTAGCTCTACCCCCTCCATAGGGATTAATGCCCAGCGTCCCAAAGGCTCCCAGATCTATCTTGATGCACTAATAGATTTCAGAGAAAACAGCATTTGTTTCAT